CCAGCAGCATCCAGCACATGAGGAGGTGCAGGGGCAGGAGAAAAGCCTGCATGCTGCCAGTACCATGGTAAGTAAGCACAAAGGCAGGAGGTAGTTGAGAGTAACTTTGACAGGGCTGGATTCAACATCAGGACAGCAGGGAAGCTGTGATAATTAGAGCCAGCCTCAGGTAGGTACACACACACACACACTACTCTGCAAAGCTGTGCTGGCTCTTTTTTTACTACTGCTGCCAAATTCTTTCAGCTTTATCTACTGTAGATGTGACAGCCTCCAACTCTGGGCTTCAGAGGGCTGTGCCCATGTTATTTGTATACAGCAAATCCATCCTCAGCACCTCTTTTGGGGGTTTAGGATTCACTTCTGTTCTGTAGAATGGAAATCTGAACTAATGCTGGGAGTGGGAGATGGAAGAAGAGACAGGCACCCACGACAGAGTCTCATGACAGCAAAATAGTCTTGGAGTTAATAAATACACCCTGCAGAAGCAAAGCAAAACAAAGACAAACTATGGAGTGGGTGGTCTGGGCTCTGCTGCACTCACAAGACTGCAAGACAGAATTGTGACCAATCTCTGCAGCAGAGGCACAGCTGAGGAGCAGCAGGAGGACAGCAGCAGCACCTGACTGGGAGCAGGGCTCCAGCACAGCACTGAACTGCCACACAGGCACCACAGTCCAGGTCAGCAGGGTAGGATGATCTCACATCCCTTGGGACCACTGATTCACACTCACCTCCATCCCAAACAGTCACAAATACAACACTAACACATCCTCAGAAAGAGTTATTTAGCCTGGGTTTCCCCAGCACTCAATGCTCTCTCCTCACAAGGTCACGAAATCACAGTGTCACTTGGCTGAGAAAAACAATCAGCACACCCCAAAAATATTCATGGGATGTTGCACAGGAACTGCAGGCTTCAGGGATCTGCTCTCTTCCACCTCAGCACAGAGCTCTGTGCTCAATACAGGAGCCTCTGCTCTGCAGCAAGGACTCCCATCAACACCCCAGCTCTAAAAAGGACAGTCCTCACTTACACTGCTGTGAGTGAGTGCAAACCACTGGAGACAGGGAATTGCAGAAGGCAGTAAAAAAAGTGAGGCCAAGAATTTGGCTCCACTGCCCTCAGGGAAGCAGTTGCCACTGGGCACCCAGGACCAGCAGAAAAGAAAACTGGACTTGCATGGCTTTTCTGCTTGTCGAAGGCAGACACAGAGACTACAGCCCAGGAACAGGAGAAAGGAGAAGCATGTCTGCATCTCAGAAAGACACATATTCAAGTGCTGCTCCAGCACATCACAGCCTTGCTGTTTACACTCACACCAGAATAATTAGAGCAGCCACTGTTAAATAGCTAACAACTTCACCACCAATTCTCTGAACAGTACTGAAGAATTCATCACAACATTTCACAGCCACCACTCTGCAGAAACACCGAAATCACCCCAGACACAAGCAGCCTAAATTAATCCCACAGAGATTCTAGCAAAAAGAACTGCAACTATTTCAGCTGTACTCACCCAAAAGTAACCAGGGCAGCAACCCAAAAGAAACAAGTCCTCAACAAACCACACCTTATGCACAAAGCATGACTCAGCTCACGCACTGAGTGCCATCAAGAAATAAAACACAAGGGTTTATACTTGGCCAGGTTCACTCCCTAAACCAGCAGCTTTGTGGGATATGAAGCTCCCAGCTGCCACGGGACAGCCCTGCCTTTCAGCTGCCAGCCTCAGCCCACAGAGAAGCTGTGTCCTCAGAAGGATTTGGGCTTTCAGGAGAACTTCCCCATCCAGGGACACCAGCACCTGAAAACAACAAAACTTCTGCAGTGTCAGGGACTTGACAATTTCTCCAGTGCCAGGCACTTGTAAGACATAAGACATTTGTACTTCTCCCTCTGTTTATATCCATATCACTTGTGCCAAAACTATAAAATAAAGTGAATATCTAATATATAAAATAGGAATGAATATATAAAATACATAATATAACTGAAGAGTGCAATGAAACATGAAAATCTTTCTAAAAATGTAAACCAGTAGAAGCAACCAACAAATCCAGACTGCAAATTTCTAAGCAAGTTAGAACTGCAAGTTCTGCAGTCCTTGACTGCACCTCAGCATCAATGACACAGTCTATAAAATCTGGTTTTGTGATTAAGGATTCAATCCATAAAGTCACCACCTGTGGCCAAATACACAAGCCTGAGAACCGCCCCTGTTTCTGAAGGGCTGGAACACATGTACTCACACCTCTGCTGCCACCACCACAAATCAACAGCCACCCTCCCACTCATGGATGAAAATCACTGTGGCTCCTTCCCACTACACCATCTTTCACATGAGTATCCTTCTCCAGTTTATCAGTTCTTAAGATCTGTTCTCTTTAGAAGGCTTCAGACACTTTTCTCCAGCCATGTTAAGCTTAACCACTGACTTAATTAAAACAACATGCTTGACCACGTGGCATTTTTTTGTATTATCCACTTACCAGCTGTACCTGACACTTTATCCATCACAAATATCCCTAACCAACCTTCAGACCTGCCTTGATGACTGCATTGTGTCAACAACTGCTTTGCACACTTCAGTCACTTCCACAGCCAACCACACACATTCCTTTTTCAACCACATAATTTTGGTGACTGGGTCACCTTCCTCCACGCTGGATGTTTGCTTCTTAAAGCAAGTGACATCCCATGCCCCTCACTAAAAAAAAAAAAAAAATAGGAAATAAATACTGAAAATCAGAGGACAAAGACATAAGAGGAAGAATTTTCACAAGGGTTACTGAATATGTGGTTGTCCTCAGAGTGGTCTGCTTTGCTACAGTTCAAGACGCTAGCCAAGAACATTTTATCTCATACCAACTCTGTACTTGGCTTGTAGGCTGACAGCTCAGGCCTTGCTTCCATCCCAAAGATGAAGGGGTAACTTGCTTCCTTGCTCTTTCTCAGCAAAGGGATGGCTCAGCTGCAGCAGTGGCAGGGCTGAATAGCAGAAAGCATAAAGCATCTGCCAGAGGCTGTGCAGGAGAAGTCTTCCCCCACCCCAAGTTAGAGATAAAAACCCACCCAAAAATCCTGCCTCACCATCCTTCTTCCCACTCAGGAGAGCTCCTGCTATGGGCTGATGCTGCCCAGAGCTGGGCTCTGCTGCTGACTCCACACAAACCAACTCACCTGCTTGTGTTGCTTCACTCAGCATCCCACAGGGCCCTGGAACCGAGGGACATCTCTCACACAGGCAGAACCTGCCTCCCCCTACACCCAGCATTTGTCAGGGCTTTGAGCAGCTGAACAGACCCATCCACCTGTGCTTTAGGGCACCAAAGGGTATCCTCTCTTCAGGCATCTCCCCAAGGCAGACTAATTGCATATATTGATTTCACATCCTACCAAACTGCCTTCCACAGCTCCAGCACTGACAAAATCCTCACACTGAGCTCTTCACCAACACACAGCCCTTCTCCACTAGCTTGGTGTGCCTGGATTTATCCTCTCTGCCCTTCAGCCAGGCAGATACCTCCTCTGGAAACCAAAGTAAACCTGCTAGAAGCCATCCAGCAACCTCAGCCTTTTCCTGAAGCCTCTTACACAAGAAATTTCTCCTTTCCCTGTCCCTAGGTAGCAACGACCCTATAAAGGCTCTTCTAAGGTCAGCATTGACATTGAAGAGAAGATTTGGCTTTCAGACAGAACTGTTCTTTCCATAGTTCATCAGTGGTACAAATACAGGGTTAAAACATCCTTCAGTAACTTCAGGAAAGAAATATCAGCAAAAAGAGATGCTCCACTCTGCAAGCAGAGCCTTGGCTGAAGCACAGTGACACAGCACAGTGCCACCTCTTCACACCCAGCCAAGGTCTAAAACACAGAAATTTTTGTCGTGACCACTGCCTAAATAGTGCTTCTTGCTCCAGCAAAGAGAGCACTGTGACACCATCCTTCCAGACATCCCCTCTGCTGCAGGCTGAGCACATCCCTCCTGCAGCCACCCCACAAGAGCCCAGGAGGGGAAGGGAAATCCCACAACCCTTTCTCAGCAAAAGAAAAGCTGGGCCTTGAAAGTCTAGCTAGTGCAAGGACAATTAATTGTATCATGCAAAGATATTTAGGGTTTAATGAACACATTAATTAGAGAGCAGAGAGCAGCACAGCACAGGTTTGAAAGCCATGGCAGAAGTACAGCACCTTCTGGCCGTGTAAAGTGAAGGGGAAACTCACTGCTCTGAGACAGTGCCAGGACAGGGGAGGTCCCCTGGCAGCTTCACTCCAGAAGCACCTGGATGGGCACCTCTGCCCACCTCCTCTGAGCCAGGAGCTGTCCCGGCAGCACTCACACATACCCCACTCCAACGCACAACTCTTGGAGAAATAGCTGGAGACAGCTCCAGACAGAAGGAACTTCACACCAGTGAACATAGCTTCCCTGAAGGAAAGAAATCTGTTGGGACCCAGCGGACTGGCACTGTGACTTAAAGCCCAGCCTCCAGACCATATCAACCCATGGCATGCCTGAACTCCTTGCTGGAATGAGAAGAGCCTGGTGCTTATGCTCCTGGTTGCTAAGATCTGACTTTCTCCAGGCAAAAGTCAAGGGAGCAAGCCCAGGAAAACAAATTTATTGCTCTGCCTGGAGTTTAATCCCATTCACAGCAGACACCCCAGGCCAAGCACAGGGCTCACACAGCAAACCATGCACAGGACATGCTGCAGCACAGCCCCAGCACACTGGCTTTGGATCTTCTCTTCAAGCAACTTCGAGATAGCGGCTCTCTGCTCGCCTTATCCACTTTCGAAAGCAACACTTCAAAGCCATCCCGTGTCAAACTCCAGAACAAACTGAAGCTGCCAGAGATGCCTCACAGGGAGGAAGTTAACACATGATGGGAAGATTAATGTGGAATTGCAGACTACTGTAAGCAGAAAAGAACAGCTTCCTAGTAAACAAAACCCTCTCCATTAAGTTACACCTACAACAGAACGGTAATTTTACCTTCATCAGAGCAGCTGAAGAAAGTGGTATCATTGCAGGATCAGCAGTTCTCCTTGTTCACAGCACACAGGCCATCGGGAGCTGCAGTTACCGTCCCTCAGAGCCAAGACAAGCAGAGAGGAAGACAAGCCCCCCTCACGCCGGCCTGGCTGCCAGGTGTGTGCTCCGAGACACGGCCGGGGCAGGACAGCTCAGCCCACGGCACCCACCACGAGAAAACCCAAACGCTGAGGAGCCCAGGCTGATCCCAAGGGCAGCAAGGAGCGTTAGGAAGCCGTGACAAACCTGCACGGAGCTCACCGCACTTCTTACCTCCTTCTCTGCCCCCTCGAGAAAAGGGCGAGAGACGGCTGGCACTGCTCGAACTGCTCAAACCCCAGCTTTCGGAAGGATTTTATTTTTTCCCATTTATTTTTGAGCTCGGTAAAACCATCACCTCCGGGGCTGCAGCTGCCGGGCGCATCCCCGGCCGCGCCGCGGCGGCGGCTCCCGCAGCTCGGGGGATGCGGCGGCCGCCCGTGTCCACCCGCGCCGACCACCGGACCCCACCCGCGTGCCCTCCACCGCCGCCGCGACGCTGCCCGCGGGCTGTCCCCCCAGCGCGGCACTCGTGGCCGGCTGCCGAGGGGCTCGCAGCGCGGGGGGCTCGGTTCGCGGGGGTCGCCCCGTGGCCGGGGCCGCTCACCTGCGCTCGGCGCTCCCGCCGGGTCCCGCTCGCCCGCTCCCGCGCCGCCCATTGGCTGGGGGCGGCCGCGCCTCCCGGGGCGCGCGCGCGTGTGGCCGTGAGGGATATGGGGGGGGGCGGGCAGCGAAGAGTCTCTGGGATTTGGGGCAAAAAGAAAAAAAAAACCAAAAAACAAACAAAAAAAAAAAAAAAAAAACAAAAACAAACAAACCAAAACGCCTTTTTTTTTTTTTTCGGTGGCGTGTGGTGTCCAGCCAGAAGAACATATGGGGTGCGGGCTTTTGGGTGAAAACACAGGGCTTTTTGCTAATCACAGAATCAGTGATGTTGGGAAAGACCTCTGAGGTCGTCGCGTCCAGCCTGTGACAGAACAGAACACTGAGAGCCGCGTCCAGGGAAAATGACTCCCCCATCTCCCTGGGCAGCTCCTTCCAATGCCTAATCAGCCTTTCTGCGAAGAAATTCTCCCTAAATACTCCATAATATGTACGATCAGGGACGGTGGCACTGCCGTGGTGGGAGCGGAGGGCCCGCCGGCCCCGAGCGGAGGGAGGCAGCGTGAGGAGCCCAGGGTCCCGCACATGGCTGTCCCCTCTTCCAGGCTCTGTCTCTAGAGGAGTAACACCCAACCCTGACCACATACACTTGCTCAAATCTTGCAGCAACTTGCAAGTCTTGCACACCAACTAATCCCACTGCTGTTCTTCAAGGAATTCCTACAAGCAGATGCCTTCTTTGGTTTGGCTCATATTTTGGCTTTATTTTTCCCTCCCACTCTCTTTTACCTTCTTCATTCATGGTGGACTGTACCCCTGGGTCGAGGGGTTCCCACTGCACCCAGCAGTGAAGCGTTTGCAGTGGGATTCTTGAAGATGTAGATTTTGTGACAAGTGACTCGTGGCAGGGCTCACTGGGTTCTGCTGTGACTCCAGTCACAGTTAGGGTCCCCGCCAGGAATCTTGGATTTAGCTGGAGAGCTAAATGGATTAAATCCACATCCTGACTCAACCCACTGCAGACTGCTGCTCCTTCCTGCTGTGACAACAAGCAGATAGAAATGCCTGTGCCTGCTTCCAGTGAGTCTCAAATAATCCTCTGCTTTGGAAACAAATTAATTCCTTACCATGGGTTTCATAACTCAAAATAACATATAATAATGCATCTTGTGGTTTACTACCAACTTTTTAATGTTAAATAAGCTTCCCCTGTTGTCACTGTGTTGAGAGAAGTACCAAAATGTAATTAAGAAGCACTATTCATTAAAACAGCAAAGTCATCTTGTAAGCCTGGCAAAGAGCATCATTTTTTTCATTTACTCATTCTGTGGGTATAGTTCTGGTAGCCAGCTATAGCCTGCTGCTATTTGCTATGTTCGTCCAAGTCTGACTTTTCCTGTAGAAATGTGCTTTGTCACCCTGGCTGGTCACAGGCAGCTGAGCAACTCTCTACAGATGAACAGGTTTATTCAGTGCTAATACCCTTTCACTTCCATCTAAAATATTTGTGCATTCTCTTTGCCAATTTTCAGTCAAAACTACTTGGAATTGAAATGTTATGTGCTTCAAATCTTGCCTACTAAAGAGCTGCTACATTCAGTGAAATGATCCCTGTTAGAAAGCTACAAAGGGTTGTGTTTCCAGCTCATCACAGAGAAAACCCAGCAGAGATCTCCCATGAGCAGGAAGCACTGGGGCAGGTGAACTGCAGCATCATAACCAGTGAGAGGATGGCAGAGCCTGCTGCATTTTAGGATAACCAAAACATGTAGATGTGGCTCTTAGGGACATGGTTTAGTGTCAGTGTTGGGTTTGTGGTTGGACTTGATCTCAGAGGTGCTTTCCAAGCAAAATGATTCTGTTATTGTCACAGCACAGCAGAGCCCCATCTCCTTGAATGTGTGCTTCCAAAGCTGCTGTTGTCTTCCAGCAGCTCCAGATGTTAGCTAATGGCAGCAATTAGACATCATCTCAAGGCAGCCAGCAGCCTGAGCTCCTGGGCTGTGTGTTTGTATTGGTGAACTGTTGGGAAAAGTAAGACAAACCCATGAGCAAAAGCAAAATCTCCTCCCAGGCCTGAGTGAAAGCCCCAGCAAGCTCCTTCTTGGCTGTCTTGGAAGTAAGTGCCCACCACCCATGAATGTGCCTGTGCCTGTGGAGGGACTGTGCTCCTGTGGCTCCAGGGATGAGAGATGCTCTGAAAGACCATAGCATGTAGTTGAAAACACTGACCTGATTCACAGAGGTTTTCAAGTCTATCAAGCAGGGCCTTGCTCATGCAGGGCCAACTCAGCTTCTCCTGAGCAATGAGTGAGCCTTTCAGCCTCCTGCTCCTCTTGCCTTAATTACTGCTGAGGAGGTTTTGCAAGGGTTTCAGAAGTCATTTGGACTGATTCATTTGGCTTTGAGATGTTTATGAGATGCTGGCTGTTTAGAAAGTGCTGATATTTGTCCCCTAAGGATCTGCCTCCTTTAGCACCAGGCAGTTTAAATCACCAGTGATTGATTTAAATCACCAGATGTCTGAAGCACAGTTTAGCACCAGTATCAATGTTTGAAACTATCAGCTCTGGCAAAGACTGTGAGCACTTGATTTAATGAAATAACCTGGTTGGCTCAGCTCAGAACATGCTGTTTCTTCCAGAAAACAAAAAAAATCCCAAACAAATAATGTGCCTCAGCTCCCCTTTTCACCATACACAAGTGATTACACTGCAGAGCAGTTGTGGCCAGTGGAAAGAGGGTCACAGACAATGTCTCTGTGATGCTTAGACCATGATGGCTAGAACAATGTTAAAATAAGACTTTAATATTTCTGTTCAATAATGATTGTGGTTGGTTGTTAACTGATTTTGCATGGGTTTTGGGTGCAAGGACTGGGAATGTGTTTATTTAACCTGTCCTTGAGTTACAGTCGTGAGGTGAAGAGTTTGTATTTCCCCAGGCATGTCACTAGTACATTTAGGTAAAAAAATATTTAAAGACATAATTTTTTTAGGAAATCTCTTAGTGGCTCCATAAAGCTGAGCAGGATCTGTGCTTGGTACTGGTAGGCAGAGCCCTGTTAACTGGAGCGATCCTGATTCACCCTTGCTGAGGAGCCCATCAGGTGACCAGGCTGTTGCTATATTCAGAACCCATTTGGACAGTTTTGAATTTTATGCTTTCAAAAATAAGTAAATAAAGCAATTAGAAACAAATAACAGAAGGAGAGAGCACTTCACCAAAGACAGCCAAAGATTATAGTGTGGCATAATTAACACAGGGCTGGCAGCAGGGAAAATGGGCTGTAACAACCACACTGCCCCCAGGAGAGAGGCTGCAGGCTGAGCTGCAGATGTCAAGTGCTCAAGTGGCCAAGAAGCTCCTCTTGCCACCCAGCACAGTCTGGTCTGAGAATGCCCAGCTGTGGTATAGAAGGAAATAAAAGCATCCTTCAGAGTTGGGATGATATGCATGTTCCTGCCAGTCCTTCACTGTGTGTCAGCCAGAGGACTTATCCAACTGAAAACATGCTCCCACAACAAAAGAGAAAGGGAAATAGTGTTACCAGAAAGGCAGGTGCTTTTTTTAGGGAAAAATCCAAGGATGTCCTAAGAGGAGAACTGGGTTAAATATAACAGGGAGTCTGCTCTGCCAGAGAAAGAATGAGTGGGCTTAAAGATAGGAGAGGCTGCACAGGAAAGGAGTTATCTACTTCTTGAGTGTTACTCATTTTAATTTGCCTTGTTACATGTCTGGAAGCACCAGGTGGAAATCAGGGCTTCATTGTGCTGGGAATTGAGCACAAACATAATGATTAAATGTTGCCAGCTCTGCAGAGATTGAAATATAATTCCTCATCTCTGCAGAATCACTAACCAGCATAATTATTGCCAAATAAGTTTTTCTGTAATTGCTCTTCTGGAATATCTGTGCTACTTGATTTTTTTCAAAATAACCCTGCCTGAGGGAGTGAAAAGATATATCTGTACAAGGTCCAACCTAGTAGCCTTGACAGATAACAAAAGATGGTCAGAAGCAGAAAATTCTCACTACATTTAAATCCATGTTCAAAAATTATTTGCTGTATCTTGGTTTCTCTTTCTATAAAATGGAAATAGTCACACTGCACTCATTGCTTGCTTTTGTTGTCTAACACCCATGATCAAGGCAAGAGTCCTCTGTCAAATGTTTGGAGCACTGTCATCATCACATACAAGGGCTTGCTACTGCTGATTGTAAAGACTAGGGGTTAGCTGGATAACATACATTCTTTCTTGTGTGTTTTCTGGGACAGTTCTTGAATTGCTGAAAGTTCCTTTTCTATTAGTTCATAACTGTGTAAAAACCAAAATGCAATCAAACAAGGAGTTAAAAAAAACCCCGCAAACAACCCAACCCTCAACTGGCCACAGCATGAATGGGAAGCAACACAGCACACTGTCATTGAAGGGGATGACCAAATCCCTTTGGGATTCTGTAACGCTTCATCCTGCTGCTCAGAGGTCAGAGAGGAGCAGGACACACTGGCCACATCCTAACTGCTTCAAATGCAGTTGTTTTCTGGCCACAACACAAAGAAATTCTTCTGTCTAAGAACAGTAAATTCTCCCCTGATCCTCAGAGCAAGATCAGGTCAAGCCAAGAGGACAGGAGTATGATCCTGCTGGTCATCCACGTT